GGGGCTGAGGGGGGGGGGGGTGTGTGTGTGTGTGTGTGTGTGCCGGGGCTGGGACCGGGGAAGCTCCCGGTTATCAGCCGCAGCCGGGACACGGCATCCCTTCTGTGGCCGCAGCAGCCTGCCAGGTAAGGGAGAAGGGCTGGCCGGTTCGGCGGGGACGGCTCCATCGGGATCCCCGGGGCGTCGTGTGGTGAGCCGGGCAGCGCTGCCCACCCTCACGCCTCGGCGGTGACGGGGAAGAGGCGAGTTGGGTCTGTGGGGTGGCGGGCGGCTCCTCTGTGCTCCGAACCGTGAAACGCTGTGGCTTTTCCCCCCGCTCGTGCCACCGGTGCTGGGCCTGAGGTTTGAGGACAGCCCGCTCGTGTTCCTGCGGCGTTCTGCAGTCCGCCTTGCTTCTGGACTCGGGAGCGTCTTGCGGTCCGAGTGGCTGCGAAAGCAAACCCTGGAAACACCTTCCTCCGACGGCGGAGCGTTTCTGTCGACGGTAGAGCACGGGCTTTTCACGTCGCTTTGCAGAGATGGCCGTTAATGTGATTAATCCCGCTTGGACTTCACACGCGAAACTTCAGCGCGGGGCTGAGCTACGTACGGCAGAAAACTATGCTTAAATCAGGTGTTTGTAAGGCAAACGCAGGCGGTGTGAGTGGCAGGGTCTGGTTTCTGGCCCCTGCACTGACATACAACAAATATTCCAGGGATTTGTCGGCCCGGGCTGTCAGCACCGAGGCTCGCCGGGGCTCTTCCTGCGTTTGTAAGGCCAGGAATGATGGGTGTGCTTGAAGTTTTCAACAAAGGTAATGAATGAACAGGACGTGCTGCGTTTTGGGATTTCCTTCTGGAAATCTTAGAAATATGGTTACGAGACAACTTCCAAGTATGGATATTAAAAAAGAGGCGACTGGCACTGCCAAGCCTGTACAAACCAGGCTTTGTGGCAGCGATGGGAGGGAAGGCGCTGGGATAGCTACATAGATTAGGATGTTCTTTTGCTGGTCTCTAGCACATATATGCGGAGTTGCGGTAAAATGTGCAATGCAAGCCCTATTTTTTGCTTACACTGTGCATTTATACTAATGTAACCGCTGACGTCATTACATGGGTTAAAACTTCCCTGCTCTGCAAAAGGTGCTAGATTTTTGGAAAGCTGGGGAGAAGCAGTTTATTGAGTGATGGCCAAGTGTGTGAAATTAGTTTCTGGTTGTTGGTACAGCGTCCGTCTGCTTTGGCTGATGGGCGCTCCTTCTCCTGCACCTGCAGGAGGTTAAACTGCTGCTACTTCTCTAGAGCCTGCCTATTCCCTGAGTGTAACTGGTAGCAGGGGCGTACCATGATAGGTGGGTAAAGAAAGCTGCATGGGTAAGCGAGTGCTGGTGAATGCAGGTGCCCCAAGGGAAAGTATCCATTTGAATTTGGGGGTTTCGTATGTTTTTGAAAGTTCTCATTCCACCTCTTTCCATCTTCAGAAGCAGGCAGAGCTCAAGCGAGCTACCTGAAATCCCGTATCTTCTCCTGTTAGAACGAGTGGGCACTGGAGGAGGTGAGCTGGTGCTTGGTGCCTGACCTGTGCCTTGCGTTTCCCTGTGGGGAGTTGGGAGTAATGGGAGAGGGACAAGCCTGGGGAAACACAAAGCAAGAAAGGGTGGAATCTGCACCCAGGTCCTTGGAGGCGCAGTCCCTTCTAAACCATTGCTGTTCACAGAGAGGGGTTATTGTCCCCTGTCTCCGGTACATACCCACGTGGAAGATCCTTTATTTTCTGTAGGCCTTACTGCTCCTGTAAGTGAGCTGGGGTAACTTTCTTTTGCAAAGACAGGCTGTGAGAGAATGTAGTTGTCATACAAAGCCAAGAGGAGAGGAAGAGACAGGAATTACTTGAGCTGCTGTTTGCCCTGAGAACAAACAGTTACAATCAGGCTGTGAAGTGCAAATAGGGTTTCCAAATCCCTGAGGAGTTGCATCTGCAATAGGTTTTGCAATAAGAGCACTGGGGACACATCCCCCCTTTCTGGTTTTAAATGAGCATTTGAGAGGTGGTTATTTGACACGGCAGTTTCTGATAGGAGAGGATGGGTCCAGTGACCTTGGACCTTAGTGTCTTTCTCGGGCCTGGGATGGGGAGAAGAGTCCTTGGTTTGCGCTCAGGCCAGGTTCAGGTTGGAGATGATCATGGGATGGCTGCTCAGGGGACTCTGTAGGATGATTATAGCACTTGGTCCGTTTCCCGGTTTGCCAGCGTCATGTCACAGAAGCAGCTTTGTGTGGATCCTGGTGCACGTTCTTGTTGGCTGGTGACTTGGGGTTAAACTTGAATGTAAATTCTTGGCTCCTCTTGGAGGCTTTTCCTTTTGATTCTGGCAAGAGGAGGATGGAGGCGCGTTCCCTCTGATGTGCACAGAGACCTGTAATTTGTGCTTTCAGTCTGGCATCTTTTATGAAGTGCTCAGGAAGAGGATGTATCGTAGTCAATAGAGTAACTGTTTTCTGCAGTGTGTTTCTCATGAGGGGGAATTAAGCTGTGTTATTGCTCTTTTCCAGGGTTCCTCTCTAGCACTGATAGAGTTAACAGAAGTGGAGTCATTTCGATTCTGTGCTGCTCGCTGCTGTGTGTCTTGGAAAAGCCAAACGCTCTGGCGGGCCTGCATGCTGTGTCCTGGAAAGCAGGCTCGAGCCCTTGGGGTGCGCTTGGTAAAGCTACATTATGGTGGTGGCTTTGACGAAGAGCCCTCCTTCCGTTTGCCCGAGGAATGCGTGTGCCACACACGGCGTCTCGTTTGCTTCTGTCGCTGCTGCTGAGAGGGTGATCTGTCCGTGCCAGGGTGGGACAGCTTTGCAGAAATGCTAGCAGGCTGCTGCACTGCCTGAAGCCGTGGAAGCTGCTGGGTATAGGCATGGCAGAAAGGGGTGCTCCGTGCAGCTTTCCGGCCTTGCTGCATTCCAGCCAGCCTAAAGGTCTCAAGCAGCGTTGGAAACCCAGTGTGCTAGGGATTATGTGCGCAGTGGGCACCCTATTCATCCAGAATAGGAAGCAGTCCCTGCCATGAACAGCTAACCGGCTCAAAAGCAAGAACAGATTCAGGCAAAACGCAAACCCAGACGTGTGCCAAGCAGTAGGCTTGGCAGCATCACTCCATTATCTTCTGCTGTTGGACTGAGATGCTTGGCCTGAAGTGCTGACGCACATATGTAATTTGCCCCTTCTTTAACTCCGTGCTCATCTCTCTGGGTGTTTCTTCTTAGATCTGCTCCATCCTCAACCTTGACTAGCTAAACGTAGAGAATTACTGCTGAGTAATACCTGCTTCTTGCTCCGCCGAGTGCAAAGTGTTACGTCTGCAGTTCCTCCAGCTTCTCTTCACACACAGAATAAGAGCCTGGCTCCAGGAAACACAGTGTTTGGTGTTGCAATGCAAAGCCATGTGTTAGGCTACAGCTACACTGAATTTCCAGCAGTCCCTGCTTCTGAAGTGTAAATAAATACACCAGGGTGGAAAAAACCCTAAACCTTCAGTTCTGCATTTTATGTCTTTTGGGACATTAAGCTGAGCTAATACTTCGATATGTAACCATATCCGGTATTCTTCCTGTTTGTTACTAAATTCTGGTCTAATGCTTTTAGTCTAGTGTTTGAAACCAGGACTTTGTTAAAATCTGGCACCCCTGAGGCACAAGCACAGCCGTGCTTGATGGCTCTTTAGACAAAGTCATTCAATGCAAGGCTGCTGTGAGCTTCAAAGGCTCTGACCATTTTCTGCCTCCCGCCCCCCCTCCCAGGGCATGACAGAGCTCAGCACTTTTGCATATCTGGACTCTCAGGTTCTTTGCATCCCTGTACAGGGTGGGGTTGGTGCCGTTTAAGGGTGGCGTGTGAACTGGTTGGGGAGCAACCTCTGTATTTCCAGAGGAAGAGAGACCCAGTCTTCGTTTTGAAAAACTTTTCAGGGCACCTTGCCCTGAAGTGGTTTTGTTTTCAGAGCTGGTGTTTGCACGGTTTGTTCTGAAGTCACGAAGCATCCAGGGAAGACCCAGGCACTGCTTGAGACTGTAATGAGAGCGATGGTCAGAGGTATCACAATAAATGATATCATTTAGAGATTTCTTGATTATATGGTTGTGTTTAAAAACAGGGATAAAGAATGGGGATGTCTGCAGAAAGGGCCACTCTTGTTTTCTCTCTGTAGCTGATGTTCTGTCTTTATAATCAGGGGCTGGACTGTGTTTGGAGGGAGGAGGAGGTTGGAGTGACTACTTTTTGCTTGTCTTTTGATGTTAAACCTTGCAGAGAGAGACTGTAAAACAGCAAACCTAGGTTTCATTCTCAAAATATCAGATAGCTGCTCCTCACTTTACTATGTTCTTCACTGGCTGTAGGCACTGGCTCCTTGATCTCTTGGGGAGAGAGCAGGGCTGGTTTGCCAGCCTGCCTCTGCGTGGAACTTTAGACACCTCCCTGCAGCAGGGTGGGGAGACACACCACTTTTAAGGAGCTTGCTGGTGGAAGGGGGCTCAGAGTCATCAGGGAAGGAGGTAGCAGTGAAAAGATGGGACTGGTTGAGGTAAAAAAAACAAACCTGGTGCACCGTCCAGAAAAGATCTTCTGAGCTGCCCTTTTAACAGTGATTTCTTGCCTGTCTTTGGTGATCAAGAGTTGTTAGGGATGAGCGTGATAGAAGTATAAATTATGTTAAACCAGGAAAAGATATCCTGACTCAATAGAGTCCAGACATGGACAAAGATTTACCAGAGCATCCTTAATCTCAGAACCCGTTGAGTTAAAAGTAGTCATTTGTTTAGATTTTTCTTGATGTGTGGCTCTTATCAGGGCTATGTCCACTTGGGGGGTTTTGTAGGAAAACTGTTTGTCTAATCTCTGTTCTTGACAAAATAAAGTAGCTACCAAGAAGGGTTGTGGAGGTGACTTCACACAGATTAGATATGATGGTGCATTCGGATCAGTAATGCCCTCTCAACAGAGGCTTGTTTTAGCCACTGAGGCAACGGCATCTTCAGCTATGTATTTATAACTCCGATAAGGTCTTTGTTTTCAGCACAGTGGTACAGAGCATCTTCATGGGGAGATGAGACCACAGTGTGATACCACAAGCTAAAATCATGGATTGAGCCCTCTCTTCCTGTTGTGTTAGATACGTTTAAAAATCAAGGAGGTCTGTGAAAGGTAGTTGGCTCTATGTACTTTCTGTATATAGTTGCATTTTTTTTAATACTCTCAAACTTCCCTCCGTAAACTCTAGGCCTGAAATCTTTGTATTTATTTTTTAAATGAGAATGGAACTTCCCTTGAAATCACATGACTCTAGAAGCTTGAGGTTGATAAAAAAAACCCCCATGCTTGCTGTGGAAACTGGTAAAATTGCACTACTTTATGCCTCCTTTTGGCCAGTCAGCTCTTCTCCACGGAGTCTCTATGGGTACCTCAGACTCACCTGGCTCTCCGTGTGCGGAAAAGGATGGTCAGCCCCGTGGCGAGTCTTGATTGTGCAAGGTCATTCTCTCCAAACCAGAGTTATTAAGGGTTCAACTAACTTTTTTTCTGGTACATTTCCAGGCTCCTGGTCTGCAGCACCATGCTGGATCCCAAGCCTCACTCTGCAAGCCGGAGGTGAATCCAGGTGAAAGCCAGCTGTCGCAGTAGGTGTCAGGATGACCAAAGCACGGCTCCTCCGTCTCTCTGTGGTGCTGGTCTCCATCTTCATGATCCTCCTGATCATTGTGTACTGGGACAACGTGGGAACGGCTCACTTCTACCTGCATACCTCCTTCTCCAGGCCTCATTCCCCAGGAGCCATCCCTGGTATCACAGCAGGCGAAGACTGGGAAGCCTTGCCAGACGTGGATGAATTTTTGGCAAAGCTGCTTAGCTCGAACCTGAAACAGAATAACTCTAGCCCCCGAAAGACAGAGCAGCTACTCATCCAGGGCTCCAGCAAGCCTGCAGTGAGCAATCTGGAGGAGAACGTGCGGGGCTATGACTGGTCTACGCACAATGACAGAAACAGTTTGGACCAAGAGAAACTGCAGATAGAGAGGCAGAGAACGTTGCGGGAGTTTTGTGCCAATTCCAGCTTCACCTTCCCCACCAAGGAGCGCTCCTTTGATGACATCCCAAACTATGAGCTCAACCACCTGATCGTGGATGACCGCCATGGCATCATCTACTGTTATGTCCCCAAGGTGGCCTGCACCAACTGGAAACGGGTGATGATCGTGCTAAGTGAGAGCCTGCTGGACCAGGGGGTCCCATACCGGAACCCTCTGGATATCCCCCGGGAACATGTCCACAACACCAGCACCCACTTGACATTCAACAAATTCTGGCGCCGTTATGGGAAGTTCTCCCGGCACCTCATGAAGATCAAGCTGAAGAAGTACACTAAGTTTCTCTTTGTACGAGACCCTTTTGTCCGCCTCATCTCTGCCTTTCGCAGCAAATTTGAGCTGGAGAATGAGGAGTTCTACCGGCGTTTTGCCATCCCCATGCTAAAACTGTACTCCAACCATACCAACCTTCCCACCTCCGTTAGTGAGGCCTTCGGGGCAGGCCTCAAAGTCACCTTTTCTGACTTCATCCAGTACTTACTGGATCCCAGGACAGAGAAGATGGCCCCCTTCAATGAGCACTGGAGGCAGGTTTACCGTCTGTGCCATCCATGCCAGATAGACTATGATTTCATCGGAAAGCTGGAGACGCTGGATGAGGATGCTGCTTATCTATTGCAGCTCCTCAAAGTGGACAGGCTGCTTCGCTTCCCCCCCAGCTACCGGAACAGGACTGCCAGCAGCTGGGAAGATAACTGGTTTGCCAAAATCCCCCTGGCTTGGAGGCAGCAGCTCTACAAGCTTTATGAAGCAGATTTTGTACTCTTTGGCTACCCCAAGCCAGAAAACTTGCTTAAAGACTAGAAGCAATTGGGCGGTGGGTGTGGGAGGGAACATCTGAAATACCAAAAATGTTTAAAGCCTCCTCATTTTTGCTCTTAATTCCCTTCCCCGTACAGGTTGGTACAACGGAATATATTTTTTCTACCGCCCCCCCTTCCATTTTTGCAATAATGCCAGAGTCCGGGGTATTCCAGCCAGCTGTGCATAGGCAAAAAATGCCAGGTTTTTTGTTACCATTTGTTGTCTGGGTTTTCTGTTTTTTACAATGTCCCCATGTTTTGCAATGGGTCGCTGCCCTTGGTCACTCTGCCAGCTGTGTCCTTCAGTAGCTTTTTATTAATACTTTTTAAAAATTAATATATTTAAGATATTTAATACGAAGTGTGTGTCGTGGCAAAGGAAGGGAAGGAATAAAAAAAAAAAAAAGTAAAAGAAAAGCCCAAGAAGTTATGCACCTGCCTCTGTGTGTTGTCTCAGGGCTGCTGTTTTGGAGGTCTGAGGTTTGCAGAGCACTCGCATCTCCCTGGGAGCTGGGTTTGTCGGTGTTGCCTTCACCAGCCTCGTCTGCTGGTGGTCGCTCCGAGCTGGGCTCAAGGCATATGGGATGGGTCAGTGCCTGACTCTGCTGAACAGTCCTGGAAGAATACCGGTGCTCCGGTGACGTGCGCCGCTCACAGCTGGTGAGCGTGACGCCAGGGTCACAGGAAGGAAATGGTGGCTGGGAGCAGTGACGCCAAGCCCCGTGGGGTGTTTCAGGACATGCAGGTGGCCAACACAGTACCTCTGCACTGCTTCACCTTTCAGCAAAGTGGTGGAGGGACTCTGCTTTCCAAAAAGCTGAGGTTCCTCAGCCCCTGTATACCTTGGTAGTGTGGAGCATCTTCCATGACGTGTCCCATTCCAGGACGGTGCCTGAAGTTCTTGTAGCCAACCTGGATGGGCAGAGCATGCTCTTGGATGGATGTGCTGTCCAGAAATTGGCATCCAGGCTTCATGCTGCAGTAACTTAGGCAGAAACGCAGGTCACTGTATCACAGCCGGTTACAGGACGGGGAGGTGGTACGCTGCTCTGTGGCCTGGTCACTGCTGCGTACGGTGCAGGGCCCTTGAGAACTGTGCTATGTCCTCATTCCTGTGCATGCTTTAAGGGGACATAGCAGGGGTGCAGATGCTTATCCCTGAAAGAAGAAGATCCAAAAGGTTTCTTTCAATAAGCAGGTGTCAAGGTGAACTCAAAGTTGGTTTGTTTTCAGAGTGCCAGCTACTGCTTGTGACGCTGCATCCTCATCCGCTGCCTTTCTGTTTATACCAAATGATTGATGCAGATTTAATCATCTGCCTTGCCGGGACCTGCTGCAGGAGTGATGGTTGCCCACTGTGCTAGGAGCATGTGGGCTGCTTCCCAAGGGAAATTAATGCTTTTAAAGAGACTTTTTGTGTCTCGTCAGCTGAATCTGCTTCTCTTTTTCTCTCTGATTTGCTTTGCAAAAACTGTCTGCTTAGCAGATTGGGCAGGCAGCTCTAAAAGAGTTGAAATGCTTAATTATTTCCCTGGGCTGTGGATGGTATCAGCGATTAAGGTCCAGGGTCAGGCCTTGGGAGGCAGCCTTGTTTTGGGCAGACTTCTCTATATTGGCCTTTTACTCTGTTTCTGTCCGAGGCCATCAGCAGGCGTGACTTTTCCCCTCTCTCCTTGCTTCCCCAACCTCTGTACACATACATCTTCTTGGCATTGCATGCTCTTCCTAGTGAATATACTGTATCAAGCTTTTTAACCTATAAATGAAAGGTAATTGCTAGTAGTTATGCTTGGAAAAAAGGGTTTGTTTCTCATTGTATTCACACCATTCTCCTCTAATTTCTGCAGAGATATTTGCAGTTTAAATGAGCCTGAAGCCATGATCAGGGTCGTGGTGCTTAGCTCTTTACAGCTTGGGGAAAAAGGAAGTGCCTGTGTCTGAGTCATTATTTAAAACTAATAATAGAAAAATGTTGATCTACTCAATTTTTTTTCCAGTTACCAGCTAATTGCTGCAAAACAGAAAGATGTTGCAAATCTTGTCTCCTGTAATGAGTAATCCCAGGAGTCTCTTGGTTCCTGCTACATTTACATTTCTTCAGCGGGGGTTCACCTCGCTCTTCAAAGATACAGCATGGATGTTTTCATCTCTTGTCTTTACAAAGTGTTTATTTTTTTCTCTTTTGATTTAAATTTAATTGATATTTAGTATGTGTAGAGGCGGGTGGCTGGGACCGTAGCGCAGATAACTGTGCAAACTTCCTTCCAGCTGTTTCCTCTGCACCTCTTGATCTGGTCCTGTCTCTTCCTGCCCCTCTGACCAGTGCTTGGCCAGTGTACCCCCATGACGCCAGCTCGCCCTGCAAACCAGCTGCTGCCTCCTCAACCACAGTTGTCCTGGGATTCATGGCCATGGCTTGTCCCAGCCAAGAGCCCAGGAGCATCTTTTCAAGGTCACAAGCTGTCAGTCAGTCAGTCATCCAGAGCAGAGGAGGAAGGGGTTGCAGAGTGTGACCATCATTTTTGGTAGCAAGGTCCTGGTCGTGAAATTGGCAGAAAAGGTGCAAAATGGCTGCAAATCCTGCACAGCAGCTGCTCCATGTGATGGGAAAATATCCTCTCCTTATGGCTGCCTTGTAATTTAACGGCAGTAGAAGGAAAAGCCCTCCTTTCCCTTGTGGACATTGGCTAGAGAGGGGAGACTTTGAACACACCAACTTCTCTCCTCTCTTCCCATCGAAAAGTGTGTAAAGGAGGTAAATTCCAGCATTATGTGCTAATACTGCCCTGCATCCCGCTAAGGTCCAAAACACCCCGTGTGCAAGGTTCAGTGAGCTGCCTGCAGGCTGCCTGCATCCCAATGGCTCCATCAGCCTCCCTAAGAGCTGCAGTCAGGAGAACATATGGATGGTGTAAGGCCACTGAGAGGTCTGTCTTCTATACTTTCCTTCTTTCACCCTGTTAAGTCCAGCCTTCATTGACATATAAGACATTTTAAAATTTGTAGACACGTACCCAGCCAACGTGCTGGGTGCTGTTGGCTCTCTCCTCGTTTCCCGTTGCCACGCTTCAAAGCACTTGCCGGGAGGAGCAGTAGAGCTCAGATGGAGCAGTGGATAGCTTCTGGGTTCAAAACAGCTTGTTCCTTGCTGCTCTTTTCTCTCCCTCCTTCCCCACCCTTCCACCACTGCGAATGTATTGTTAAGAAGTCAAAAGGGATCCAGGCTGCGCTGAGCTTTGTGGTAAGACGACCGCTGGGTTGCCAGAACTGGGACGTAGCCTCTGGCTTTAGGAATATGCATTTTTTGTGGGTTTCTTGCTCTGTTCTGATGAAGTAAAAGTAGGAGGGGGGAGGAGGAAGAGAAGGACAAAGAGTTCAACCAGCCATGCTTCCTTCCTCCCTGGTTTCCTAAAGGAGCTGGAATTTGGTATTTGACAAATAATGACAGAATGATTGGAAAGGGCAGGCAGTATACATCCGTGCTGGCCTGAAGTCAGAAGGGGGCTAAAAATCCTGGAGTGTAGATGGTTGTGATGCTAGTACTGATTTTATAAGGGGTGGAGAAATGCTTTGAAGCGGCCTATTTGTGTCTGAATAAACCTGGCTTTGTCATTTCACGTTCAGCCTGCAAAGTTATGTCCTGTTCCCCTCCTGGCTTGCTTTTCCCTGGGGCTGACCACTTGGCCAAAGTCAGCACGGAGTCTCTAACAAGGTAGAACCAAGGCACAGATACAAAAATAACCCGGGGTTTGACCAAGATGTTTCCAGCCGGGTAGAACTGAGACCAGCTTTAGTGCTTGCTCAGCGTCAGAGCCAAAGTCTTTACACAACCATTGAACAGGTTTGGTCCCTTTCTGTTTGATACTGGATTCACCGCTATGGTGGGATGTGTGTGACCTTGCCCTGCAGCCCCTCTGTCCTCCGGGGAAGGACTGTCAGGCCTCAGAGCATTTTGCTTTTTGAGCAGTGACATGGCTCTGCCAGCATACACTGTCCTTAACACATGGGTACCTTTGCATCTCAGTAGTTTTTGCCTTAACCCTTTTATTCACTTGTGGTTTAGGGGGACAAAATTGTAGACCCGTTACCGATGGACAACAAAAATTTGCCCTGGGATAACGTGTGAGATGAAGTGTTTTGGCTGCGTGTTTTGCATCCCTCAAGGTGGCACTGAGAGGATGGAGGGCAGGAGATGAATGGCAGCATTGAAAGGGTGGCGAAGAAAAGCTAGTTTGTTCCTTCTTATGTAAGCTGGACCTTCGCGGCAGCCTGCGGGGAAAGCCGGTGACTTGGCAGGGTGCTGCGTGGCTGTGGTACGAAACGATGCCAGGGAGGGTGCGGCGTGTGGTGACTTACAAGCAAGTCGTGTTGCTTGAATTTAAGGGCTTGCCCACGCTGGTCTTGCTTGTAAACCTTCTAGTCAAGGGCAGGAAGGGGAAAAAAAAAAAAAGGCAGAATTTAATAAAGCTATCGATACCTGGCTGGATGGGGAGAGCAGGAGGCGCTGGGTCTGGAGCAGACATAATGCAGCTCTTCTGCTCTCTCCTTGCTGAAATCAAATTGGTGATCTAGCTTGGACTGCAGAGGCTGAGGTTTGCCCTTGCAGGAGCTGGGTAGCATTTGGTGCTGTGGGAGAGCCCCGTGCCAGGACGGCAGCGATGCTTGGCCGGGCGGCAGGGCTGGCCGAGCCTCTCGCTGCAGTCGCTGTGTCTGTGCGAGGCGCCGGGGGAACCGGGGCCGTGTGGCCGCTCCGCAGTGGCCCATCTGAAACCCATTTTCTGTTCCTGGGCTCTGACAAATGCCGCTGCCGCTCCCCCCAGCCTGGCTCCCGCGGCAGCGGGGGTCTGTCTCTTACAGCCGCTGTCAGCCGCGATTCCTGTCCCGGGTGCCCCGTGAAACGATTGAGCAAAGCACAACCAAAACCTGCGGTCAGGCTGTCGCACTCAAGAAAAGCTTTTATTCGTGCAGCCTGTGTTGCAGGTAGTGCCCAGCCTTTGGGTCACAAAGGGCTGGACTGCGGGGGGGGTGAATACACTGAAAAAGTGAGTGACCCCCCCTCCTCCTGCCTGCCGGCTCGCTGCTGGCGCTGGGAATCAGGCCCTGCTGCCTTTTCCCTGCAAGACATGAAGCTCCTTTTCCTTCGTCTCTTCGCCCTGTCCCCTTGTGTCTAGGCCCACCAGTGTCCCCTCAAGTGTCCCGACGTGCCATGTTGCCTTCCTGTGGGGCTGGCGGCGGTGGCCTGATGTCCTCCCGGCCCCGCTTTGTCTTTGCTTTTTGTGGTTTTGACTCATTCAGAGATGGCTTAAAATAAAATACTTAAGAAGTGGAGAAGTTGCAGCGGCTGGTTCCTGTCGGGAGGGAGGTGTGAGATTAGCAGCCCGACCCTTGACAAGGAGGGAGGGAAGTTTCCACACCAAAAC